TTCTCAGTGTGGGGTTCCCAGACCAGCGGAGTCAGCATCACCTGCAAACCAGTGAGGAATGTGAATTCCTGGGCCTCACTCCAGACAATACCTCAGAAACTCTGGGGTTGGGACCCAGCAATCTGTGGTTTAATGAACCTCCCAGGTGATTCTGATGCATGCTGGAGTTTGAGAACCATTGTGAAAGGAAAAACCCACCAAATACAATTGTCAGCAGCACTTGGAGTAAATGAAGTGACAGCTGCTCTCATAAGAATGGAGGCTTCAAGTAGCAGCAGCTGTGATATTTCAAGTCATTACAGGTACCTTACAATATCCCCAAATAGCTCTCAAACTGGGTGAAAACTCTCTTCTGCTCTTGCTGGTGAGGAATGACACATATAGTAACATGTCCCCAGAGGACCTATTTGGACCTTCCAGGCACTCCCCTTCCTATGTAAACCACACCTAACGTCTCTTCTGCTCTTGCTGGTGAGGAATGACACATATAGTAACACGTCCCCAGAGGACCTATTTGGACCTTCCAGGCACTCCCCTTCCTATGTAAACCACACCTAACTCCCGGTCATCAAGAGAGGGGAACAGGCATGAAAAAACCGTGTGCCTGGGATCCTCATTAGTAGGACTGCTGAGAAGAGTAATCAGATCGACTGATCTGAGTCTTGTCTGCTCTGACATTCTAGAAATTCTGCATGTCTAATATTCGCCAAGCAGTTATACAAATAAACCGAAAAGGTCATCTGCTGATGGACAAATAGTAGAGGAAGAGAAACCAACATTTATTAGGTGTCTAGTAGCCAGGCACTGTGCTGGGCATTTTACACATTTAATCCTTACAAGATCTCTACAAGGGTTCTTGTAAGGATTAGAACTGTTTACAGAGAAAGGAACCGAGGCTCTTAAATAAGGTCACGCAGCTAGGATGTAGCTAAAGACAGGGTTCCACTCATCTACCTGACTCCAAAACTCATGCTCTTTCCATTCTATCAGGGTCTTCTGGGTGTGGAATTGGCAAAGCAATGTATTCTGAGGAAAGAGATCAGGAGAGTAGTGACCACAGAGGGGAATAAAGTCAATAAAATGACCCCTAAAGCTGGCCCCTCTGTGTTTGAGAACGGCCGGTGGAGGCTCCACAGATGGCAGAAAAGGCAAAGGTCATCCAGGAAACTGCATCAGCTCCTGTGTGTGGCCGTGAACAAAGTCCATCTGTTCCAGGACAGATGTGTGCCTGGCCAGCCTTCCTCCTCCTTGCCTTGTTTTCTATTACTCTTAGAAAGGACAGACCAATGACAAGAATAATGTCCACACTGCCAACACTACTTTTCCCCTAAGCACTTCTAATGCGTTATCTCATTTACTGTCCTTAGCAACCTTGTGAAAGAGGTACTACTGTCTCCATTTTACAGCTAAGAAAATCAAGGCTTAGAGAAGTGAACTGACAAGTGGTGGAGCACAGGTTTGAACCAGGCAAATGTCTGACTCAGGAGCCTACACTCCACTGTAATACCTTCCAGGACACACATTCATTGTAGTCTTTCTGTCCAGATAGTAGACAAGCACACTTGTCCTCATGTGTTCTGTCTCTCTGACACACACATCTCCCCTTCTTGCTCCTTTCTTTCTCCCTCCCTCCTTTCTGTCCACAGAAAAGAGGCTGAAGTCTTACCTACAGTGTAATCTCCTCGGAGTCATGGACAGCTCGGAGGGCCCCACCCCTCTCCTTTCCAGGCACCCACGGCGAATTTGAAAGTAACTGCCAGACCATTCACCTTCTCTTATCCAAGATAAAGACTGCCCCAGTCCCCTTCCGTTACTCTAAGCTGCCCTCAGTTCTTCCCCACCACTGAAAAGAACTGAGCACTCCAGCTTCCCCCCAGGGGAACTTCAGTAGCTTTGTCTACAATGTTCTTGTGATTAGGTTGTTTTCTAAACCATTCAACCTTGGGTTCCTTTTTAAAGCCCTTAATCTTGTATTCTGATTGTCCTGAGTCCATTCAAAACATTTCATCTAAAAGGGGTTTAAGTGGGTACATCTGGGGTCTCTGCTTGTATAAATAATTGAAGCCTAAACGAGAAGGCATTGGGCAGCCTGGGCTCCTGCAGCTTTACTAGTCTGCAACCTTAATAGCAGCATGGAGAGTCACTGAGTAGCAGTGGGCAAGCAGGGCCCTGCCGGGGATGAAGACCCTGAGCCAGGGAGATGGGACTGAAAGCTGTCGAGCACGAAATGCTTGCAGAGAAGGAGAAATACTCACACAAGGAGAGCTGGATGCACAGCAGCCACAGCCACCACAACCACAGTGCGGAGAATTAGCAATTAATGGGAGTAAACTGAAATGTGAGGACAACATTGAAACCACAGCTGGGGTATAGAATAGTAGGGAGAATGTGGGACTAAGCAAAGCAATGGCAAGCCCAATAGCTGTGTATACAAACATGTACACCTTCACGGACACATAAACACATACCCACCCTGCCCTGCTTTCACTCCAGCTTACTCATCCCAAAACTCACAAGCAACACCCACCTTTCGCAGAAAGGACCCCAGCCCTGCTGGCCTGGCCCATGTGCCCAGCCCCCAGACCTGAGCCCACAGCCCGGGTACTTCCCTTCTTCCACCCCTCCCCCTTTTCTGGGTTTTTCCACCTCATGCTCCATTGTATGGTAACCAGATGTGGCCTGAGCTTCAGACACTAATCTTGGGGAATAACTAATATCCCCTCCAACTCATGATGAATCTCCCTGAACCTCAGTTTTCTTTCCATGGAGAGGGCCACCAGGTCCTGGGGCCTCTACGGCTATTTGGAAACTCCTGAGCATCCACTTTCCTATTGCCAGCTCTCCTGCTCAACTCTACCTCTTGCATGACCTACCTGTACTCCTTCCTGCTACCAGTCAGACCCAGCATGCTTGGAGGAGATCTCTTTCCTTATTTCCTATCTTCTGACCTGGGTTTGGGACCCTCAGTGTCTGTCTTGTTCCCCTTTTCTAGGAGCATTATCCTGCCCTGGAGCTGACCTGTCTGCTGTCCTATCTCAGGCTACTGCAGTCACACTCACCCCTGCTAGCCTTCCTCTTTCTTAGGAAGGATCCAACACACAGGACTGGGGAAGGTGGTGTAGACCTCTGCTACTCTGTTCATCAGAAGCCATTGCTCCCTACACCCCTCCCTCTTGCTGCAAGTACTCCTAGGAGTAGATTTCACCTTCGTGGTCTTTGGAAAAGGAAGAAGGGCAGGTAAAACACCCTCAGTAACATAAAGACAGAAATGCTTCCTCGGGATCCCCACCTGCCACAGACCTCCCAGTTTTTTCCTCCTCCTCTGCACTTCCTGCATCTGGGGGGCCTCACCAGGGTCCCTTCCATTCACTCTAACTCCCCTATCCTCTGTCCCACACATCCCAGAGTTCTCCTCCTCCTCCTCCTCCTCTCCACCCTCTTCAGCTATCACTGTTATGACTCAACAGCACACGCATGGTGTACGTGAAGAAAACTAAGCCTTGGCTGAAGAACAGCCTGACAGCCTCGTTAAAGCTCTTTTCTTTGGCATTAGAGAGCCTGGGTTTGGTCCTACCTGTGCCAATTACTAGCTATCTGATAGACTCAAGTGACCACAGGCAAGCTTCAGTTTCACCGTCTGTGAATGGAGAAATTAAAAACACCTCATAGGATTGTTAGGAGAATTGATTGGCATTATGCAGTAAAGCACTCATACAGTGCCTACTGCACAGGAAATGTCAATAAGCAGTAGCTATCTTGATTAGCTGGGGAAAAGCATAGTTTTGATCCAGGAAGCAGGGATCAAGTCTCAACTATGACACTAGATGGGGATTCGGAGGCAAGCGTCCGTGAAGTCCAATGGCCTGTATCTGAGTTACTAAGCAATGGCAAAACACAAGGTAAAGTCCTTGGCATCTTAGGATTTTAACTACTCATTTATGGGGGAAACATAAAATGCCAGCTCTCTGCCTGACTCAGAGATTTAAGGAGGTAATTGTGAGGATTAAGGAAGTAATTGTTTCTTTATAAGTTGTTTAGTAGAATGGTCCTCTACTAGAAATCTATTTCAACCACCATCTGAATACCCCTTAAAACACCATGTCTTGATCAGAGGAAAGTTACCCCATCCTCACTGTCAGCAGAGCCAATTGGGTTACTGCCCTGGGGGTCCTACTGGTTGGGCTCTTATGACAGCCAGTGACCATGACATGTGAGAGTCAATCAACAGTCCTGTGTGGACTAAGCTGAGTCTCTCAGTGCCTCAGGCAGGCCTAGTGGAGCAGGAGGAGCACAGTTGTGTGGATGGGCATTTTCTCTAAAGGGGACACTAGGCACCATGACCATAGGTCCCAAATTCTCTGGCAGTGTCTCCATTCACATCATTTTCCCCAATAATAGTGATTGTTAAATTATGTCCAGAAATGTGATTTGATCCTTGTCAAGTCAATTCACAAATGTGAAAGAAAATCATTTGTCACACTCTCTGAGAAGAATACATATCTGGAAGGTATAGTCACCAAGTTCCCAGATAATTGTTTAATAACAGATTGAAGTGCTGATTGTTCCTCAGATTGGATGACAAGTAGCACCACACGGCTTTGTGTATCAGCCTTGCTGCTGGTGAGTCAGAAGCGCACGCTCCTGCTTCGCTTCTCTTCTAGTAGCTATGATTTGTTACGGGGGGAGGTAACAGGAATGAAAGGCATCCATGTAACCATTTTACCTTCCTCTCCGTTGAGGCTTCTGTTTATGCATGAGTTTGCTGAGGTCACTGCCCTGTCCTCAGGGTGCCTGTTCCTTTAAGGAGGGCATCCCTTTTAATAGAACATCACAAAGAGAGAGGCTAACAGTGCCCCCAGGATGACACTAAGGACACCTCCCCCACACACATACACACACACCCGCAGGCACAGGGAAAACACCTTGAGCGTCTTCACAAAGAAGTGAGGCAAAGGGGATGGGGAGGAGAGAACAACCCTAAAGGCAGGAGGGCTGTTTACCTTCCCATAGATCCACCGTCTGAAAAATGTCAGTGGTCCTGACGCCATAGATCTCCGCAGCCTTTAGGAACTGGGAGATCTGCTCCATCTGCTTAAAAGCCATCTTTGATTCTGAGATCTTGGGAATGGGCTCTTGTCCTGGTGGGTATAAACTGTTTATCAGCTTGCACAGGACCTGAGGGGTGAAGGGGAGACAGAATCATTGTTTCCCTTTGTATTTAGAGGTCTCGAATGGGAAGTGAATCCTGCCCCCACAGGGCACAGCTCAACCAGGTTTGGGTAGGAGCAAGTAATAGGACCCAGGAAGGCATGGGCGCAGGACCGTGTGGCCAAGCTCCCATACTGAACCCCAAATACCCAGACAACCACATGCCCAGGGCTGCCCCTGACTGCAGAGAGTCCTGTAGCTGGGGAGCCCCATTCCCTCCTTGCTCCTCCCTTCCTCTTTCTGGGTGACAGAAAGAATGTTTACAGATAGGGGATGATGTGAGGTGATGACGCGATTCCAGACTTTCAAAGGGAGGGATGAGTTAGTGGCTCCCAAGGGTGGGGGTGGGGGCTGTCAAATGACAGAATCTAATATTAACTCTTTTATCAAAAGGCTGATCAGAATCAGGCTTCAATAACTCATCCCATATGTGTTAATGATGTGTAAAAGAACCTAACTGGGAACCCTCTTCCCAGATACCTATAACCCAAGCCCTACGGAACCCAACAGGAGCGTGGCATAGCCGTTATGTAACAGTAAATCACAGCCTGCGGGAAAAGATGGGCTTGTCTGAATCAGCAGAGCCTGCGGTCCTCAAACCCCCATCAACCTCCTCTAACAAGGCAGGGAGGAGTGTCTGGTCAGAAAAGGGAACCCAACAGGAGCGTGGCATAGCCGTTATGTAACAGTAAATCACAGCCTGCGGGAAAAGATGGGCTTGTCTGAATCAGCAGAGCCGGCGGTCCTCAAACCCCCATCAACCTCCTCTAACAAGGCAGGGAGGAGTGTCTGGTCAGAAAAGCAGTTATCAGGTAAGGACTCCCTTCAGGTTCAGGAGAACCCATCCATTCAGCAGACATTGAGCACCTGCAGGGAGCATGACTGGGAAGAATGGAAAGTAGCTAGTGCCCCCCACCCCCTGCCTTTGTTTTACAGCTAACCAACCTATCCCCCTGGGGGAAGAAATGGCTTCAGAAGATCTGATGAACCAGGAAGGCTGGGGAGATCACAAGGAAATACTTATCTCTATTCTTATTGGAAAAATCAGACGGGCCTCGAATTTACCGACAACTGAGAAGGAAGCTGTGATGCTCGGACGGGTGGAGAATCCCTTCAGGAGCTAGGGAATTGTGCAGGGAGCCCAATTCTTCCAACCCCAAAGAAAGAAAGGCATTCCCGTCGCCTCCCAGTGACACAAGGCTTAGCAACAGCAGCTCCTCCCAGCCTCACATTAAAAGAAAAGGCCCTGGAGGGTTTCTCTGCCCCCCACCCCAGCAACCAAGATCGCTGCCGGCCTTACCGTCCCGTCCATCAACCATTTCTGAAAATGGGCCCTGCCGGGGGGCGGATGCTCTATGTCCTCGGCGCACTGCAGGATGATCCAGTCCACCAGCTTGTTCTCCAGGTCCGCGTCATATTTCTGCTCGATCTTCTCCTGCACCTCTCGGCTTAAGCCGTAGCTCGGGCCCCTGTTAGCCATTTCTGGAAGAGAAGAGAGGACCCGCGCGGCATCCACACAATAGCAGCAGCAGCAGCAGCGGCAGCCCCCGGGCTCCCTGCGAACGGGGCTGGGCTGGGGCTGGGCGGCCGGGCCCCGCAGTAGCAGCGAAGCGGGCAGAAAGCCGGGCGTGGTTTAAATCAAGGAGCCAATGAAGTCAATGGGGTTTCACCTACACACGGGAAAGAAAAACGCAGCCACGCTCCAGCGACTCTAGAATAAAGCCTCGGCCGGTCCAGGGGGGCTGGAGCCTCCCCCGCCTCGATCCCGCCTATCCAGGACTTGCGCTCAAGCCTGAACCCCCAGGCAGCAAGGGGGACGGGTGCGAGGCGTTCCCTCCCCCCTCTCAGCAGCACTTTGCAAAGGCAGAAACCTTGAGGTCGGAAAGAGCAGGCAATTAACTGGCAGGGAGGAAGCCTGCCTTGACGTTTGGTGTCTGATGCTGCCTCGCGCCTGGAAGAATGGCACCCTGATTTGATTTTCTTGTGGCTGACGAGGGTCAAACCAGGGCCGTTGCTAAGAGCCCTCCAAAAATCCAGACCGCCTGCCTCCCTCCCACTGAGAGCTTCTTTCTCAGCCACACAATTCTTTCCCCTCCTCTGGGGAGGCGGATTGTGCACAAGGCCAGCCTGCAGCTGCGCAGGGGAAGGAGGGCCTGTGGGAGGGTCCATTCTGCCAATTGTCCATCTGTCAGGGGTAGCCAAACCACTTTCTTCTGCCCTGAGGAGACAGGTGTCTGGAAGGACAGGAGGGGAGGGACTGAGAGCTGCATTCATTCACTTGTTCTGCTGCCAGCCCAACTTCATCCAGAAACTTCCACTTTGGTGGGAAAGTGCTGTGACTCAGTTTGACTTATTCAGGCAGGGGATATAGGTATTGAATGCTATTTTTAACCAAAAGACAATAAGAGCAAATTTTATATATTAAATAAAACTCAGCACTAAGAATTCTTGGAGTGAAAGACTTTGATAGAATATAAAGACTTCATCTGTTTATTTCAATTAAGGACCATGAAGGCACGTGACATAGTGTCTGTGGCATGAGCAAACAAGACCTCAAAAGAAATCAGATCTAAGTTGGGCTGAAATTTTTATAATAGCTAAAGGGCTTGATAGTTTGTCCTCCTAGAGTGTAAGTCACTTGCAGGTAGAGATTGAGTCTCATTGGTGTTGTGTAGGTCTCAGGGTACTTTTCATGAGAAAAATACCCAAATATTTGTGGGGGTTATTTTGTTCATTTGTTTTGTCATTTCTTCACTGAGCATATACTTATTGAGAGCTTAAGGGTGTCTCTCTTGACTGGAGAGAAATAAAATATAATTCTTGCCTGTAGAACTGATTGATAAATTGAGTCAAGCACATTAGATAAAGCAATTCGAGTACATGGGATGGCAATCTTTTTCCCTGTGGGAAGTTGATTAGAAGCTACGCAGGAAATGACTCCTCAAATAATACATGTATTGAGAAAAATCTCCCGCTGGCAGGGGCCTGGACTAATGAAATTTAATTACTTAGTAGATATGTGGGTGGTTTGCCTGAGAAAAGACTTGGTGGTCAGTAGTTGAAGGCCTGGGAGAGAGAATTCTGTGAAAGACAGGGGGTTGTGCGAGAACAACCAGGAGCTTGTAGGAGAGAAGTAGGTTTAGAAAGACAAGGGAACGGCTAACACAGGTCTGGATGCTGCATGGAATCATCAGCTGAAGCAGCAGAACTGTCTCCAGAGACTCAGAGCTTAGGGGAAGAGCTTTGAGCAGGGAAATCGTCAGTAGAATTATAGAAGTCAGTAGTTGCACCTTGGGTACTAGCAATAAAGTCAGTTCCAACCCGGGACTAAAGGAACAGAGGCCCAAACAAAACCATGTAACTTTCTCCATGGCTGGAATTGCTTTAAGGAAGATGTTGGTTTGATGTACAAAGCTAGAAGCAATTCTAAAGATGTAAGTTTGTCTTCCTTTTTTTTTTTTTTTTCCTATTTTGCAGATCTTCTGTGCCCAAAGATTCCCTCCCATGGAACAGAATAACTGTGTGCTTTAAAGAATGATTGAACCCATGATTCTGGAGAGGATACAGTGGCAAAGAGGGGCCACAGAAAGACATAGAAGAGTCCAGAAATCCAGAGGAAGTCTTTAAAGAGAAAAATGCTTGATCCTTCAAGGGAGGGGTGTTGGGGAGAGGAGCAGATGACAGTATAAATTTGTTCAATCCTGCATTTACTGAGTACCTATCAGCATTATACTTAATTTTTTCAAGAACTTTTTTTAAGGGCCTGTGTTATATATCTGAGATACAAAAATGAATGAGACATGGCAATTTAGTCTAGTAGCAAATTAAACATGTGAGACAACAATGCCAGCTGAATGTCATGCTAACATGCATAAGGTACTGAGATTGGTACAATTATACCTAAAGGAAGAGGTTAGGGAATTAAGGAAGAGGTTTATAAATGAGATAGGTGACTAAGTCTTGAACGATGAGTTGGTGTTTGCCAGGTGGATGGGATGAAGCAGGAGAGGTCGAGAATGCTGCTAACAAAGGCAGTTTATTTAAGAAGGTGAAAATGTTCTAGAATCAACAAAGCATAGGATTAAAGGGAAGAGACACACAGAAAGAAAAATGAGGCTGGACTGTCAGGCAGGCTCGAGATCAGAAAGCAAGTGCCCATGGTTAAATTTTCAGGAATTTTGAGAGCCAGTTATTAAACTCAGCCAATATTAGCAATTAAATTATATTAACTTACACTTAAATATATTACAAACAAGGGTTAAATCTTCAAAAAGAATCATTTCCTAATTTATTTTGCTATATTTTACTAGTACCTATGTTCTTGAGGCTATTTCTGTTTATTGTTGCTATATGGGGTAAATACTATGTAATGGTGTGCTACTGGGCATTTCTTCCCAGCTTCGTATTCAGAGATGTCATGGTGGTTGAAAGAAAGTGAGCCGAGATGCCCGGTACCATTCAAGCTTTATTACAGAAAGAAATCTGCCGGGCTGTGCTCAAAATGCACAGCCCGGGGCTGCGCTGAAAATGGTGGACAGCCCCAACAATGGGTTTGCGAGAGTTTATATTACCTTTTGGGCGCGAAATGTACAGGGGGAGGGACCATTAGGTTGATGTAAATGGGTGGAGAACTGCACCCATGCAGAAGCGGGAAAGTTGTTTCTAAGTCAGGAGGCTTCTTGTAAAGGGAAGAGGGGAAGGGGCTTGGTGTTGGAGTGGAAGACGAGGCCGGGGGCTATTTTGTGCTGGTGCTTATTGTGTGCACAATGGCGCCAGCCACGTCCAAAATCCATCAGTGGTAGTTTGAAACCAGCCATGATGAGAGTATTTATGCCACGAATGGTGGCAAATGCCACAAATCAGGACTCCACCCCCTGCTCCCCCACCCCCCCCAAAAGCCGTGCTGGTGCTTATTGTGTGCACAATGGCGCCAGCCACGTCCAAAATCCATCAGTGGTAGTTTGAAACCAGCCATGATGAGAGTATTTATGCCATGAATGGTGGCAAATGCCACAAATCAGGACTCCACCCCCTGCTCCCCCACCCCCCCCAAAAGCCAGTTGTTATACATTTACCAGCTTTGCATGGACTTATGTGTTGTGCAAAAGAGTTCAAGCTTCTCTCTCCATAGGGAGGGAGAAACACCAGATCTGATTTGGATGAAGGAAAAAGAGACCATCAGAATGACTCACAAGTCTGACTTGCATAACAGAAATAATGGTGGTGCCATTCACTGTAAGTGGGGAGGCACGTAAAGGGGGAAAGATAATAAAACCTGGGCTTACCGCATTTGGGAGGCCCACGGTCCATCCCCGTTCATTAGGCAGTTGGTTTTATGGGTCTGGAGCTCAAGAGAAAAATGTCTATTGTAGAAATGTACTTGAATCATCTGCATACAGGTAGTTGTTAAAACCATGAACATGGTGATGTTGCTCAAGGTGAATAGATAAGTAGCATGAAAAGATTGCCAAGGCCAGAACTCAAGGGAATGTTAACTTGTCAGGTGGGCTAGGAGGGGGAGCCAGCAAAGGAGCTGATGTGGCTTAACAACAGAGATGTCTAAGGATAAACAAGACCAAAACCAACCTCCTCACCAATAGTCCTTTGAGAGAGGACGGCTGGCATATAAGCTGAGAATTTCAAAGCAGTAAGTCCTATCAAAAAGATGTAGACAAGAGTGCTGTTCAGGAGAGAGCACAGAGGACCCCGCAACACAGCTCCTGGAAAAGAGAAATGGGGATGAGTCAGGAAAGGCTTCAGAGAAACTGACATTTGAGCTTCTTTTTTAGCAGAAGAAAATTTATCTATCAGCAAAAACCTGAAAGCCCAGGAAAAGGGGAAGACAAAATGGGAAAGGATATTTTCCTCAAAAGATACATTTGGTTTAAAAAATTGCCTGCATTTTGCTAGGGATATTCTCTAAATATACTAAAGCGTTACTTTTTTTTTTTTTTTTAAATCAAAGCAAGTTATACATACTACACAATTATTTCTAAACTGTTACTTTGGATCTGTATTTAAAGGGACTCTTAAAAAGATATGTTTAAATTCCATGAGATTTAGTGCACATTGTTAATTCCTTTAGTATTCTTTGTTTTTCCCAAAGCTTTTTCTGAAAGCACTCCATGTCATGCATTCAGTGACGTGTAAAATACATGAACAGCCAGCAGTCCGAGTGCCTTATCCTTTGGACCTCCTGCATTATTTTAAGTAATAATCAGTGACATGACCCGTTGCTGTGGTTTGAATGTTCCCCCAAACTCACTGAAACTTGACCCCCATTGTAGCAGTGTTAAGAGTGGAAAATCCAACTATGATATTTGAAAGGTGGGGCCTTTTTTTTTTTTTTTTTTTCCTTTTTGTCGTGTCCGGCAACGGATCGCAACCCTCAGTGTCGCACCCGCACCCGCACCTCGCTCAGCCAGTGAGTGGGAACCGGTCTGTATGTGGGATCCGAACCCTCGGCGGGAGCGCTGCCACGCTCTCAAGCGGCGCACTGTAGCAGTGTGCCACCGGGCCGGCCCGAAAGGTGGGGCCTTTAAGACGTGATTGGATTGTAAGCGCTATGCTCTCCTGAATGGATTAATGGGTTAATGGTTTCATGGGTTATCAGGGAGTAGACTGGTGGCATTATAAGGAGAGCAAGTGAGCACTTAAAAATGCTCCTGCTCGGCCTCCACTTCCTTTTCTAAACAACCATGGATTATTTGTGTCCATCAGTCTCTCACTGGACTGTATTCTGTACAAAATAAAC